ACTGGCACACAGCAGCATGTGTGAACATGTTTACCTATTGCTGAGATTGCAGCCTGGGCAGTGTCAGTGTTGACATCAGTGCAGTATCCTTTCAGCTCATCCAGTATCATTGCTACGTTCTCGTCATTCACCAGCTCTACCAGCACCTGCAACACACAGCAGCTGAAGCTATAGTACTGTCAAAGGATCGCCTCCAGCTGCTAACACTCGGTACTAACTGTGGACTTGTGAAAAGCTAAAAATCCAACTCTTGGGGCTTGCTCTAAGATTAAGCTAATCCTTTTGGATATTAACATGTCCAAAGTTAGGAGTATGGCATGGACTTTCACTATGAAGCTTCAAAATGCAGTCCCAAAAACTAAAGGCTAACATCAAAGTGGCTATGGCCATCTTTTATTTACTGTCTATGCCAAAGTATATACATGAAAGCAGTGTCATGGAGCATCCTGACCAAAAGGAGGAAATACAAACTTATCAACGCACCTGAAAGATGTTTCCACATCTGTACAAAGAATTCATGCTAAGGGGGTTTCAGGTGCTTGTTAAACTTGGCAGCTGTGAACCAGTTGGGATCAAACTCCACCCCTCCAGCTATCTGTTACAAAAGGTTTAATTACTTTGTCGGGGTGTGGAGTTAGCTCACAGTTTGGGTAAAATGGAGATGGACAGATTAGCATTGTACCGTTGACAAGGTGAGCATTGTATAATGGTACTGAGGAGGCAAATGACCCAGAAGGTAAACCTCTCAACCACGTCTACATTGAAAATCTCACCTATGAATATGAGCACTAATTAGTGATAAAAATGTTGAGTTTGAATAGGAACTCAAATACAGTTGTTCCTCATTAGGTTTGTAGCTGCCTGAGGAACTGAGATAAGCAGAAAACTAGAGGGAGCTTGTAGATGGGGGTGCTCTGAAAAGAGTCCGTTGAGGCTGTTTGAGCATCCTGGGTGCCTTCAATTGGAGTTTTTTCAGGCATAACCAACTGGGATAAGATGCAGAACATGTAGAGACTCAGCATCTCACTTGTCAGGATCTCCCAGGAAGAGATGGTAAGTGGCTCTTATATAGCCATTTATGTAACTTGCCTCATTCACACAAACACTGTTTGCTATCAAAAGTGCATTTTACCGATGGATGCATCAAAACTTGGGGTTAGGATCTCACCCAGGGACGTTTGGGTAAGAGCTGGAGCTGCCAGGGATCAAACCTCCCATCTTCTGATTAATAGATGCCCCACTTTACCTCCTGAGCTACAGCCACCCAGGATGGAAAATGATCCTGTGTAAAGGAAATTCTAACTACCCTGTTTAGCCAGCTGCAATCTGACTCTGTGCACAACAAATGGATGAATGAATGGATAATGGAAATAGTGGAGTGGAGTGAACGTCTGCCATCATGCTGCAAGATCAGTTGACCACTAAGTGAAACTGAGAGAATCTATTCAAGCAGGACTTACTGAGGCAACCTCAGGGTTAACTTTCAGTGTTCTGCAGCATCTATAATGTCTGGAGTCTGCATTTATTTAATCTCATGTTTTTCTAAGACATAAAGTTTCCTTTTCCTTTGTAAAAAGCAAGAAGTTGGTCCACCAACACAAAATTATGTTCTATGTTTACTGGTTAGTTTTACAAAATAAGTATTAGGACTTTGGATTATTACAGCTAAAGTTTTCTTGTTTCAAAAAGCATATCATCATATAAACACAAAAACTGAAGATGAAAAATTCAAAGGATAAGCAAAACTGGCATCACCTGCATCTTCCTTTCTTTGATGTAGGCAGGCTCAGCATAGCCACAGAAGAAACGCTTGTAGTGTGTCCCCAGCAGGCCAGGGACAGAGCGCAGCAACAACTGCAAGCAGACAGACATATCTTTTTTTCTCAGCATGACATGTACACATGAATCCATCTGAACGTAAAAGTAATGAAAAAATGAATCAGATGCGGTGAATCTGAACTGTTGCTGCTCCCTCTGGGGACTAAAAAAGACACACATCCACATGCCAATGATTCAGTAAGTGATTAAGCTTTTCCACAAAGACAGAGTTATCCAGTCAGATGTCATATTAATTTGTACAATTTCTTACACTTTAACTTAATACCGAAAATTTAGTATTTTGGTCTAGACAACCCAAAATGTGATGTCCACACCAGGTCCTAGGAGGTTTCCTCAAAGTAGCCACTACTTGCAATTTACCTAATAATTTTTAATAATTTTCCAAGCAGCTTCTGACTGCCTTCTGGAATAAGGAATAAGGAATATCTTACATTATTGAATTTAATTCTGTTATATTTATGCAGTGCCAATTTACAACAATTTGTACCAATGTGAATAGGGTCATTCTGGTCTCTGGTCTGATGACAAGTCTCTTTGTGATAAGGTGAACTGATTTGAATGTGTGGTTCCCACTATGGAGCTAGCAGGGTTTCTAGTGACAATGTTGAGGGAAACACTTTAACCAGCAGGGCACTGTTTGTTTTCCAGCATGACCAAAAGCCAGTGTTGGGGAGTAACGAATACATACAATACCATTACGTATTTAAAATACAAAATATGAGTAACTGTATTCCTTTACAGTTACCATTTTAAAAGGTGGTATTCAGAATACAGTTACTTTGTTGAAAATAATGGATTGCACGGCGGTATTTTGCTGTTTCATAAGGCTATGAACTCTATATTTTTGGTGTCCATGCCGGTGGAAACCCAAACAAAACACGCATTAAGAGGCTCTCATGTCTCTATCTCAATGTCATCTCTATTTGCGGCCCGCATAATGGCGTGAAGAAATATTTAAAAAAAATATTCACAAAAATGATTTAATAAGAAGGCAAGAGGCAGAATGTTACAGGCATAGCCCTAAAGAATGTAGCCTCATGGGCAGTGTAGTCCGTGCTGCAGGGAGAATTGACTGTCATACCTGTTATGTGTCTGTGAGTGCCAGGGAGGGAGAAAAAGGAGAGTTGAAAAGTAAGAGATGTCACCGACCAGAAACGGGAGATGGAAGCATGTAAATATATATATATATATATATATATATATACATACACAAAGTTGACACAGACGGCAAAGCTAGTTTTCGGCTACGAGCCCGACACAGAACTCAACGTATTAGTCAGAGGTCTCTTTACAGTTTTATGCCTTTACGGTTCGGATCTGTTTTATATTCACGTGGAATAGTTTTCTATACAACATCGCTGCAAAAAGTGCAGCCTTACCTAATGTCCATCCTACTGTTACTCATTTTATATTAAGATTTAAAAATCTAGTTGGTATTGGTATGGTGAATAACCTTCAGTAAAAGTAATAAATCACACAGCAATAGTACATTCATGTAGTTGTAAAAGCATGATAATATATTAAGTAATCCAAAGTATTCAGAATACGTTACTCTCATCGAGTAATGTAACGGAATACGTTACAAAATACATTTTCTTCCCAACACTGCCAAAAGCACACCTCCAGCCTCCTGTGAGGGCTGGTTGTCATTCTGAGCTTTTCAGAATGACAACCTCATGAGGCTGGCGGAGAAAATGAAGCTGTTATTGAAGCAAGTTCTGGCTGCACAGTCCACTCACATGTTTAAATTAGTTGCACTGACCTGTATGTGGCAGACGGCAGCAAACCTCATCTCTCTGGACCCACTCCCACAGGCTGCAAGCAGGGGTCCACTGACTCGTTCCAGGGCCGCCAGACTGATGGCGGGCAGGTTGGAGGAGACGCTCAGGAAGAGGCTAAGGGTGGCAGCCATGACAGGGGGGTGGGGGCTTACAAGGAATGAGTCCAGCAGGGACAGGATGTCAAAGAGCTCGTCTTCTGACTGGGGCCTGTAGCGCTGAAGAACTCTCAGCACCTCACACTGACCCCAAATGTCACACTCCTTAAGCCTAGGAGGAAAGACAGACTTTTTTTTCTAACCGTGTCTTTATTTATTTTGAACATAGCACTGTACAAATCCACTAAGCCAGTTGTTCCCAAACTTTTTTTGCTGGGCCCCCCTTTGTTTTATATAAAAATGTTTGCGCCAAGTCTTGTTTGTTTGTTTTTTTCCCTTTTCACACCGCGCCCCCCCTGCAATGGCTCTGCGCCCCCCACACTTTGGGAAGGTCTGAACTAAGCGTAACAAAACAAGTAGCTAAACTTACATAAACTACAAACTACACATACTGCCTTTATCCACATAACACCATAAAGGAAAGGGAAAAAAACAAAACAAAAACAGGAAGGACAGACAGACTGTAATATGTGAGCCACAGCTGCTCAGCTCAAACATGAGTATTACTTTTCAGCCAAAACACAGGATCAGTTTGAAACTGATAATGTGATGTGCATTCATCATAGTTTACGAACTCATTTTGCCACTGAGAAATCAGTTTCAAATACAGTTTCTATGTTAGGACAAAATATAATCTTGATGTTAGGTGATGGAATAAAATGTGATTTTATAAGCGTGATTATTTAGGGTCAGTTCCTGGGCAAGTTCTTACATCTCACCAGTGCCAGTAGTGGAAATTTGCTGTCACTGACAAAAATGAATAAAACATAAAATAGCACATACGGCTGAGGAAAGTCACCTGGACGTTGCCAGCGTTATGCTATGCTACAATAGTTAAACATGCAGGGAAATATATTTATGTGCACATCTGCTCTTCCTGTCTATAATGCTGGTTTAGACAGAAGTCTAACAGGAAGCTATTTGGCTCTGCTGATATGATTAGCTATCTGTAGAAGGTTGGATGATAGCCACACACACAGACAGTCCTGCAGATTAAGGCTCTCATTAGACGAAAAATGAATTCAATTCCAGTAAGAAGACAGAATGCCTTTTTTCCATTAACTGAGTAGATGAAGAGGAGAATGTAAAAACATTAGAAACAAATTAATGGCTTTCTTCAACCCTCTCCTTCTTTACCCCCCCCCCCCCCTCTTTTTTTTTTAACTTCTTCCTGTGATGGGATTCTTTTTCTTCTGGTGAAATTTCACAGTTTTCTAGATGTGTCACCATCCACCACTTCAGCTACCTACTTTGCCTAAAGGTAAAACAGTAGGGTACTCCCCTAAAAACATCACATTGAAATTAATCAAAGACCTAATGCAGTTCAGCACTAACAGTAAAATAAACTGCATGCCAGAGCATCCTTATTTTGACAGATTTCATGTATCCACATTTCATCTGATGTTTTAACTGTGGACCAACCTGTTGAGCAGGTGGTGGGTAATGGGTTTGTTAATAGTGACACCACCCTCCTCCTTCAGGATCTCCTCCAAAGCTCGGAGGCAATTCACCATCACCACGGGGTCCGGGTCCCTCAGGAGGCTGTAAAGTTCATTCACCACTGCTGCATCTGGAAAGAATCACAAACAAGAGGTTTCTGTACATGACGCTGATGTATCAGCAAGTGAAACACACCTGCTGATACATCAATAGTGATGGGATTGACTTTCTTCTTTCTTGCAAGAGAAGAAGAGAACTGTGTTAACAGGATAAAAAAAATCCCCACCTATCTCAGAGCTAGGTTGGAGGTTGTGCAATTTGGCCCAGCCGAGTACAGCCACACGTCGTACGCAGGCTGCTCTGTCTCTCAGTCCTGCTGTTAGAGGCTGCTCCACATACTCCACCAGGCTGGGTAACCTGGCACACAGACACATTCAAAACCAGTCATGAGTGGATGTGGCAGCTTACACTGAGGTACCTGTATACAGCAGTTCACCTGAGGTTGGTCATGTTCCTGAGGGCTAGACTGCGAACCATTGGGTTTGGATCCTGGCAGTCCTTCCTCAGAGTGTTGATGACCAGCAGGGACAACTCCGGGTTTAAAGTGGCGTAGGAACACAGGAAGACATAAACCAATTTCTTTTGGACTACATCTACTGTGGCACAGGCTTTCACCATCTCACTGAACAGGCCAGACACATCTACCCCTTGTGACATGGTCCTGAAATGGAAGGGGGAGTAGAAGGGGGACAGATAAACAAGAAGAAAGACAAAAGCGGGAATGAATAAGGAGGGGACAGTCAGAGTTGAAATAGAGAAAGAAAGATTAAAGGAAAATGAAAAATGGGGAAAGAGAACAAAGAAAGAGACACATGGAACAAGAGGAAATGATAGGACACAGGAAAACCTTTTAACATCACATTTAACAAACATTTCATTAAGATATTCTTCTTACTAACAAAACTTTGTCAGTGCCCAGATATTTCAAAAACATGTGAATGCAGAGAAGAATATTTCTGCAGGCTTCTTGAAAGAGATCCAAAGCTCTCCTTTGGAAGCTGGTTGTCTTTTGTTCTGCTCTCTATCAAGATGATCCCCCACTGCTTCAATAATATTCACGTCTGGGCTCTAGGGAAGCAAGTGCTCCATTGTGTGTTTTTCTCTATAGGTTTGTTTTTACTGCATTGGTACTCTGTTTGGAATCTTTGCCGTGCTGACAAACAAATCCACTGCCAATCAGATGCTTTCCAGATGGTATTGCACAGTAGATTAAATCTGACAGTACTTTTCTGTCTTCATAATTCCATCAGTTCTGGCATGCTCCCCAACACACTGGCTGAAATGCAACCCCAAACCACGACAGAGCCTCCACCATGTTTTCAGATACCATTCAACTGCGGTAGACAGTATTTCTTAAGCCTGCCACTTCTGCTTTTGTCCTCGGTTTCTTTAGGGACAGCCTGCACACCACTTTGAGATAGCTTTAGGCTAATAGTTTTAACCTCATTAGAGCAAAAATACTATTTCATGTCTTTAAAACTCTATTACTGTTGGCATTTCTGTAAATTTAACAAACAAATTGGAACAAATTATGTATTTTTGCAACAGGCTGCTAGTAAAAAAGAGCCTAAAGAATACAAAGAATACAAAGCACAAACTAGGTCTTTTGCTACTAAGTTGTCTGTTATGTGTAGACACAATGATTTATCCCTTCAGTTAGGCATCTTTTTATGCTTTAATGCTTCCTTCATAAGTTAGTGATAAGAAATATATATAATATAAAACAAACAACAAACATCCCTCTGAAAACAGTGAGGTACACGGACTGGACTGGAAATGAGTAAAGAGGAAGTTGAGGTCTAAAAAAACAAGTCAGAAAGCCTTGTGAAATATTGTTTAAAAAACATACAAGAAAGTCTGGGTGCCTGAAAGCAAAATATAAAGAAATGAGGGGTGGCTCAAGCCTTTGCACAGTACTGTATATCTTCATATAGTGACCTAATTTTCTTTTTAATGTTGCCCAGTGTTTAATATCAACATTCATTATTGGAACAGAATAAGTCCACTTTAAACCTTCAGCTTACGTCTTTCCTTGAAATGATCTACTGCTTCGCAGTGAAAACAGCATGATAAACCCCCAGTCAGCAGTGATGTTAGTGCTATGTCACTGGTCCTGGTTGGTCTTAAGCCATTGAAACAAAGGGGAGTATTAGTCAAAACAACAGAGTGTTACTACTGAGGGGTACGATTGGTACCTAGGGGCTGTATAATGCTTATATGTTCACTTTCCTTTCCAATATTATTTATATAAAAGGCGAATGGAACTTTGGGGTCTTAACAATGAAGCCAATGTAAAAAAGAGCCCTGTTTTCCTGGGTCCATCTCCTGACAGCCTTCCATTTTGATGTTTCTCGTGTATTTTTCATGATCCTTAAATTGTATTTGAATAACTAGAATCCATACTTTTAGTTTTATGTGTTTGTTTAATGTTGCCTAACTTTCCAGATTGTTTATGATATGTAGTCTACACCAGTGTTTCACAAAGTGATTACAGTTTTAACGCATCTGTTAACACAAGGGATGTTGAATTAAGTAGCTTGCTGTTTTTTTCTGTTGTTTCAACACTTCAGCTCTCTTTCCTTCAAAGACACAGCAAAGAGCGAGACTTTAAAAACACACAAAAATGAATCATAGTGAATCGAGCCACATGTGGGACTGTTCAATTGGGCGTAAAATGAATTTCATCAATCTGAGCTTCCACAATAAATAAGCAAAAATGTTAACAATGCTGACAACAATTTGCAACCATTTTCACTGTGATTATCTCATTTTCTTCTTATTCACAGTTAGATGCTTATGACTCGTTGTCAGCAGTTGGAAGAATGTACTGAGACAAGTGTGCAGGGACTGTATCTCAATTTGTTAAACATCATTACTGAGAATGTTTGTTCACATAGCTTCTTCTGAGCATTTCTCCTCATGTGTGGAAAGTTTCAAAGATGAGTAACTGGGCTGCCTTGTGGACAACAAACACTCTTAAAATCCTCATCATGAAATGACTAAGTGTTTTTTGCAATTTTGTGAGAATATCGACAAAGCTCCTGGTTGTGTACAGCTTGGTAAAAAGTCCTTGCTGCTTTTGCAGATGTCTGTTCTTGTTCTGCATCAGTCAAGTTCTTAAACCATCATCCTTAACCATAACCATAGCAACCTGCTCTCCATCAGCTAAGCACACAGCATTACCTCTGATTTTAATAAATAACTTCTGAATAGAATACTGAATAGAAGTCAATGTCTAATAAAAGACTGCCAAACTCGTATTTCTCATAAACATGGAATCCAGCACATTTACAATGAAGCTGATTTCCTTGTGCACACATATCCACGTAAATCTACAACAATAGCAGTCATCTTCAGAACCAACAAAGCTGTATTGTAATTTCCCAGAAAAATGATGTCACTCTTTCATATTTCCAGTTAGCTGCTAGCTAACACCTGCTTTTTCAGTGACAATTAACTTAAATTGCATGGGGAATGGGTTGGGGTGGTAAGCAGGTTCCCAAAAGCAAATGTGTGCCCGGCCCCGTTTGACAGATGAATGCGACCTTGTAGGCAAACCGCAGCGCCTGGGGGCTGAGCAGAGGGATGAGATGAGTACCTGATCACTTTGAGGATGGTGTTCCTGTACCGCAGCGGGTCTGACTGGACGTTGGGGTTGGACAGAGCTCTCCTCAGCTCCCTCACCGTCTCCTCCCCGCCCAGATAAGGCATGGTGGCTAAGAGACACAAAAAACATCATTCTGCTTGTCAGTAACAAGCAGGTCCAACTGCACCTCTGGCTAGTGTTTTGATAACACAGCCGGTGACCCAGCGTTCAGCCGGTGAGATAAAACGCAAAGCTTTTATATGACACAGCAACCCAGTAACACACGAACTTGTTCATTTTAAAAGCGTTACCGTTTAGCACTTTGAAGGACGAAGTTCATCCGTAACAACACAACAAAAATGACTAGAATAATTATTCCCTCTACACATCCGCATTTCTTCTTCAGTGTTGTTTTTCTCGTTTTAATCCCACGCTGCTCTCTGCTGGCTGGCGTGAGTATAGCACGACAAAGGCAATACACCCTATCTGATACTTTGTTTATATTTCGGTGGAAAATGTTGCACTTTACTCCATTTACTCCATCTGCCAGTGGTTGTTAGTAGTGTGTATATGGAACGCCAGGACTGCCATAATGAATTAATTAAATACACCATTAAATAATTAATTAAATGTGGCAATAATTAATTAAAATCGGAAATAATAAATTACATAAATATTTATGACACATGTAATTAATTAATTATTGCCACATTTAATTAATTATTTAATGGTGTATTTAATTAATTCATTATGGCAGTCCTGGCGTTCCATAGTCTGGGACCATACAGTCCTTTTCTACTCTTGGCTGATAATCAGACTTTTTATAACATAAGAATAAACTCAAATAATTATGACAAGACTGCTATAATCAAAAGAATTTTTTTTTTAAATCATGCACATGAATGTTGGTCCATATGCAAATGTGGAAAGTCAGAAGCTAGAAGAGTAGCAGCAAGAGTTCAGTTCCTTTACATTAAACATTAAATTGTAGTTTTCCTATTGAAACTGATATATCCCATGATGCTGATGCTCAAAGTTGGTTATGGAAAAAATAGGGAAAACAATACAATTTTGACTCAATATTGTTACATTTTGCTTTAAATTGATTTGGTTGAAATTACAGAAAACTTGTAATGCGTCTCTTCGGTCCAGAACATTACATCTGGTTTTATCCTGCACTGATGTTTATGCAGGAAATGGTGGCACAAATAAGGTGATTTAAAAATAACCAAAATTCAACCTACTCCTGTGAACTTATTCTTGTATTGTCCAGGGAGGGACTCACTGATTTCAATGGAAATCCCTCAGACAGCATCAGGTTTACATGCAAACATGCATGGATCAGCTATCTTTACACAGATCACTTTGGTAACCCAGTGTAAATCAGGCCGTATGCCGCTATAACTTTCTGCGCATGCAGCCATTTGAAGATGACAAAATCCAGAATTTAACTGAAAAACTGTTAGCAGTGCATTTGCATATATTCATCCACCCAGTAGATCAATACTACTCTATTTACTCCAGGTAGGTAGGTCTCAGTGGATGTTTTTTTTTGTCTTCCAGAACAAGATCATGCTAAATGAGGCACATGCGTAGTGATGGATGTGTGTCAGTCCCACAAAGTAAAATGGGTCAACGGTCTCAATGTCAAAATGCTGGAGTAGCTATTAATCTAGAAATGAATATGATGTGAGATTAACATTTGTGAACTTGGACGTTGTCTGAATGTCCAAGTCAACACCAGTGATGGAGGAGCTGTCTGAGCAGCTTAATATTACAAATATACTAGGAAGCAGGATGACTGATACTAACAACACGGCAGTACAGTCCTGACACGACTGGTGTATGCTTGTATTAAACATGACCAAAGGTTCAAATAATGAACTCATTGTATGTACTAATCCCTGTGAGGCAAAATATCAGGCTTCAGACTGCTCCAAACCCCTTCAATGTTATTCTTAGCACTTTTCAGTGAAGATTTCTTGGTGTAAAAATAAAAATGTGCCTTCACACTACAGTTGCATAAGACCCAAACAGCACTTTGGTCTAAATTGATGATGGGTTTATTTGATTGTGAAAAGCAAGAAATTTACAAACAGACAGCACTAGACCTCCAGCACTGAAAGTCCAAACCCTGATCCAGAGACAAACATCCACTCTGCCCGGCCCTGCTGGTTGGGGTTTGAAAGGCAGAGCTTCATTAACAAGGAAGGGCGGACTTTGTGCTTGGGCGGTCAGTCGACTGTTGACCCAGGTGGACAATCTGAACACGGCCCAACAGGTCCCAAAGGAAGCTGCTCAAACCTTCCTCTGGATGGCGTGGGCAGAGCCAGGTTCTAGGAGTGATACATCATTTCTTTTCCACAGTAAACCGTCACCAAATTAACACATTTAATGTTAGCCATACATCCTAAAATAAATCACCCTAATCCAACCATAACAGACACACACACACACACACACACACACACAGTTCTCATTATTTGCTACTTTGGGCAAGTATGATTCAGTATTTTTCTTTTTTATAGAACTGAAACTCATTTTCCAGAAGCTGTTTATGATTTTGATAAATCATATAAAACAAGTTTTCTATATGAAAGGCAACAGGGAAAAATAATGCTGAGAGAGGCAGTACAGCATTGTGCCCTGAAGTTACAACATGAAACATGAGAAGTACACCATGTTTAGCAGCTCCTTCTAAAGCTGGACATGTATGCAGCCTGTGGTCCATTTCCTCTCTCAGTGGATCACATGACACTGGGTTTTGGTCTGTGCACTGTCAACTTTTTGACAGAAAAGGTAGATGGGATGAACAACAATTAATACACACATAGACACACTCATTCTCTCTTGCACACACACACCAGAACAGTGTCAGAGGGTGACAGTGTCTATGACACATTGGGGCTTGGGTCAGGGCTGGTGGAGCTGTTTTCCTGATTTGCTGCCTGGCTTCCTCGGGGTGGAACCTCGATAATGCGGGGTTTGTCAATGATTCGAGCATGGCGGTCGCCTTTCTCCACAATACCAATAATCCACGCTCCACCCACCGCCCCCTGACCCCCTGCTCCGGAGCTGAGGTTTTTCATCTCTGAGCAGAACTTGGCTGCCTGCTCTCTGGGCAGACACACCAGTAGCCCACCTGGAGAAGAGGGGGGGAGAAGGGATGTGAGTTCCTAGCTTTAAATACTGCATTTATTCAAATTTAACCACATGTTTAATGTCACTGGTCGTACCGGAAGTCTCAGCTGAAGTGCCCTGAAGCAGGTTAAACAGGTTTCCGCAGGCTTTACTGATGGCAGCCATCTTGGCTATGATTGGAAGGTTATGGATAACAAAGGCCACCTCGTTTTGCTGCTGTCTTGCCAGGTTGTTGGCGTGACCCAACAAGCCGAAACCAGTCACGTCTGTGGCAGCGTGGGCCTGGTACTTGTGCATTAGACCCGCCGCTGGAGGCAAAATGTGAATGAGCCAGAGTAGAACCACAAGAAAGAAAAGGGAAAATAAATTAATCAATAACAGCTGATATAAAGTCTGCTAACTGTAATTTAGTTAAATAGTTAACTAATAATACATTTGCATGATCACTAATGACTGCAGATCTTAACCAAAGTAGTGTACCTGTGCGGTTAAGGGTTGCCATGGAAAACATAGCTTCGTGATAGGCCTCTATAACTTCCTCTTTGGTGACAACCAGCTTGATCTTGTTCCACTTTTCAGGCTGGTAAAACAAAAACAGCAACAAGAAAATTAATCTTCAAAGCAGTGCTTTTATACATTTCTACATGCACAATAACCCACACATGGCAGCTGTGAACCTTTTCAGGAAGGAGAACTGTTAGCAAACAAAACATTATTTTGTTACACGGACACAAACCCTGTCAGCAGTCTTGGGCGTTTCATCAAAGAACTGGAGCAATTTTATCTCATGTGACCAGTAATTAACCAATACATATTGTCTTTCTTGTAAACATTTTTCCAAATGTGTCGGCATGCAATTCTCACCAGATATTGTCAACCAAGTGCCAATTAATATCATGGTGTGGGGCTGTTTTCAGCATACGGCACTAGCACACTACATATAACACTGAAGGAAGGACAAATAGAAAAATGTACTGAGACATTCATGATAAAAGTCTGCTGCCATCTACCAGGATGATGAGGATGAAACGAGGGTGATGTTTCAGCAAGACAATGATCTCAAACACACAGCCAAGGAAACTCTCAATTGGTTTCCTGTGGCAACATTACACTTAATATTTCTGTGAACACAGTTGAATGGCTAACCTGATCGATCCACAGATAAGCATTTACAGCCACCCGAGTGCCCAGAGGTTTGGTCAGCACCAAAACGTCACCTGGTACAGCCCCATCAGGCCTGGAAAATAAAACAAAACGTAAACGTAAAACATGCAAATCTTTGCATTTTGTGAGTCACAACTTTTCATAATGCGTTATTCATAAAACCTCTTTGTTTCTTTGTCTTCACAGGCATCTCTGCTAACAAGGCACTGGCAGAACTTTTATTGTTCATCAGAATTTTATTGCTGATGAGCAATAAAAGTTAGTCACACCCAGAATATTGCAGCTGTAAGGGATAAGAATGCAGAGCGTCCCACAACACAGAGTTGACTTGTGTAATCCCCCATGTTTCACAGCTGCTCAAACACAACCAGTATTTGAGTGAACACCCTCACTCTTGTTGGACTACTTGGACTACAGTAGTCCTTGTTTTACACTGAAGTACCACTGAGTTGAAGGCCACCCTATCTAGAACTAAGTAGAGACCTGGCTTAGCTATGTCAGGAGTTGAACTAAATGTAGATATAAGACTCTCAAGAAAAGCCTGATATTGATATATGTTTCAGGTACTCACATAATGAACTCATTAGGCTGGCAGACGACCGATGCTACTCCTCCCACAATGATCCAGGGATTTATCACAGTCTGTCCACCTGTCACTGAAGTTCCTCCCTCTTCTGCTGCGTCACGAAAGCCTCGAATCATCAGCGGCATCACCCGCTCACGGTCCTGTTTCACACATGCATAAACACATGACCATAAACTATCAACGAAGCGCTTATGCTAGCTTTAATCAATGTTCATTTGTTTATGAAAATTACAAGGACACAAATCTGTTGACAACCCCCACTTCATAATCACATCAGAGACTGACTCAACACAGCACACAAAATCCTACCTTTTCATTCATCTTCTGGCTGACACTCAGCAGCATCAGCATGTTGTCACACTCTGTGATGCCCATGGCATAGAGGTCGCTGAGGACATTAGCGCATGCTATCCTGCCCTGTAAGACAAACGGAGAGAGAGTAACAGTCATGTGACTGTTAGCTTTACAAAGCTCCCATAGATAGGTGGCACTCAAAGACAAAAATCTTCACCAAAAACTTCCAATGGCATAACTAATGAACAGAAGGAGCTGGAAGCTTTATCACAGTATCACAGTCTAATTGCCTGTGATGTGTTTTTTTTTAAAAAAAATCTTGATATTATAGTCTGCAGTACTGTTTTGGACAAAATAAGTAATAATTTAATATGTGCATTTGATGTTTTGGTTTTATGGGCTAAAATCTGCTATTATACTGCTATAATACTGTAAAAAATAAAAAAAAAGATGTCACTTTAAACAAAGATGCCTAATTATCAGCAAGTTATCCTGTTACGTTGTTTGCATAGCTTTCCCTCCTTGCCCATGTACTGTGTAGTAATGCTTAGTGGAGGGAAATGCATGCTAGTAAACTCACCATCATGTATGGATCTTCCACCAGAGGGTAAAAGAAATCTGTGGTCTGGACAAGTGACAGTCCTCCATGTCTCAGAGGAATGACAGCGGAGTCCATCCCTATGCCTGTAAACACACCACAAGGATGAGGACAAGACAAGCACGCAGCACAGCCAACAAATGTTGACTTATTTTGTGTTACTACTACTTTTTATTTTTGGTAGTCCGTATTTAACTGCAGTTAAACAAATTTAGTAGTCTAGTTATTACGGGACTGTTACACGGAATTGCCTGACACTGTCTGAACTTTACATGAATTTGTTTTAATCTTTGGGGGTTACTCAGTGTAACTTCGTATATTGCTGTTACACGGAGTTAGAAAGTGTGCAAGTCAGTTACAACAGGAACATTGGACTATCTGCACGAACTTCGCACTCAGAGCATCCGAGACATTTCTGCTGACTCATACTAACCGTGTGGTAATTTGATAACTCGCAAAACATGTGTCCTATACTTGCCTGGTTAGTTAACTATTACATGTATTAATTATTAATTATTTAGCTAAGCTAAAGCACTATTCAAGCTAAAGCTAAGCACTATATGGGTAGCTTTAGCTATCAATATAGTGTGTGTGTGTGTGTGTATTTGAATCTTAAAGTGTTTTCCGCCCATTGCTTTCTGTCAAATAAGCTGCCATTAATAAACACAAGCTAGCTAGGTTAGCAACAGTTGCATTAGCTAACTGACGTTAACTTGGGTTTTAGAGTATAATGGCTAGCTCTACTAACTTAGAATTTGTCCTTTACCTAGTCGTGGGCCAGGTAGCTGTTGGCCGAACTCCGAAGCTTGGTCTCCGGCCCTCCCTGTCCCGTCGGCCCGGTCCGGCTCCAGTCCCGCCAGGAGTTTGAGCAGAGCCTCCTGCGGGACTTTGCAGCCTCATCCCTTCAGTTCCGAAAAGCTTGTGAGGCGGAACCCGCGCTCCAGTCCGTGCTCCTCGGGTTTGAACGGTTTGTATCCTGGGGGAAAACATCCCTCAGTGCCCACAGCCTCCACTGTGGGAGGCGGGGAAGTTGAGCCTGACATGCTTGTGGCCCTCTTCTCCCACACAATACCAGCTGCGTAGTATAACACCGGTGAACACAGGCGCACGGATGAATGGAGCGTGTGTCTGGCGAGTGGTACGTGAAACGGAAGACATTGGAAAAGTTAAACGGCATAAATGGAACTTCCTGGTGTTATTTTCACCATAAAATCGTTTGCGATTCAGCAGGTCTACCAGCATTCAAAATGTTTTTAAAAATTCCAAATACTACATTTGTCGCATAACTTGGGGATTTGATTTATTGTTACTACTATACCAGAAAAAAGGGGGTGGGAAGCAACAAATTGAATGAGATCTAGAGGAAACGCTTTATTTTGTAGGTGATGACTATACTTCCGGCTTCTCCCTGTGTTTCGCAGTCAAGCAATAGGACCACAGACTGATTAGAATATTATTCTCTGCTCTTGCTGCCGGGTACACTTTTTTTTAAATGGTGCAATTTGGATGTATTAATTTAGAAATTGAACTGCTCGGTGACAGTGAAATTGTAACAGCGAAAAATATATTGTCACTATGCCAAGGTTTTGGCATAGTGACAAAATGGTCGTAAACCAAGGGTGTCAAACTCAATTGCACAGGGGGCCAAAACTCAAGGCACACTTTAGGTCGTGGGCCAAACAAGATAAACATTTATTGAACACACTAAAACAATGTTTTTTAAACATAAATATGAATAAAAACAGACAGGAATATTATTACAGATTAAATAAACTTAAAAAAAAAATAAACTTTAACTTTAAATATTTTGCTCTTCATAAAAATATATCCTGTCAATATAATCTGAATCAGGTGCAGTTCAGCAAAGTCCACTGACTTGGTTCAGCATTGCTTGGCAACAGGGAAAGTGAGGCAGGTTGCACTGGTGCATTTGTGACAGCTTCACTTGAAATGCCTTCACCGCATCATACATGCCATGTCCATGAACTGACAGATTTCCTTGCTGAGCTCAAAAACTCTATTGAGAATTTTTATCCCAACTCAGCCAACGGACCTCTGTATGATAAGTAATGCCGGCAAACTCTGAATCTATTTCCCACATAAAAGACTGAAATTGACGGTGATTTAAACTTTTAGCTCAGATAAAATTTATGGTTTGTGTTGCATTTAGGGGGCTATATAAATAATTTACATTTACTGAATATGTACTTACTAAGTAACACTGTTCAAAAGTTGAATAAAGGAACAAATAAATGTTTACCTTTTTTTAAAAAAAATTACAACCACTTTGTAAAACATCACATCAGTTACAATGTAGTATCCATGTCGTTTATAGTTTACAAATGACAAAATGTTCACATAAAATCATGACAGCATTTAAATAATATCACCCACTACTAGCATTCTGTAATTTACTGTCTCTTTTTAAAACGTATCACTATACAGCACAAGACTTTTAAGAGTATTTAACAAGAGCATTTTCCCCTAGTTTTACTACCACCCTGGGGCACATGTTCACCCATACGCAGCAAACCTTTGCCATCTTATCCAGGAGGGTCACCTTTTCACCCACACATGGAAGATGTAATCTGATTGGCATGGTGGTATGCAGCATGTAGTTTGAAGCAAAGATTTCGTAGTGCCCCATGTGTTGGAAACCAGTTAGGATTTGTTTCATCCATTTCATAGGCTGGTTTGCCTGCAATAATGCCAAATAATTAGCAACTCTATAAATAGAAGGTAGTTCTGCAAAATCACTCATTATGATGTTTGTTCTAATTTGCTATGACCTCAGAGCGCATTGAAAATAAAATTAATAGGCTATAAAGAGTAATATGAACTTATTTAGAACACACCAACAGATATCTGGGTGTTGCATCTTCAAAAAATAAAAATACAATAACTGAGACTTACAATGAAGTATCATTGCAACTGGTTTACTGAACCTTTCTTTCAGGGCATGTACAGAACATCAGCATCCTTTTTCTACTGCCTCCTACAGGACACACTCTTCTTCCACTTCCTTACAACATTAATGTAACACAGAACCAATACTGCCTCTCCTGGCATTAAAATTGTAACAACACACTCATTCTGTTTCTTTCAGATGAATAACAGGAACTTAGGATGTAGGTATCTATGAATAATAACTATTATGCATACTCATATATTTATATAACCAACTAATTTCTTGCGATACCACACTGGGGATGGTAGAGAACTGGATATCAGCTCGTCTCACGGCTGCTATGCAGGCTAGACGCCTTCTTTTGGTAACATCCGATACATAAGCTCCCTCATGATGCTTCCAGGTGAAGAAAAAATGAAAAGAGAGCCCATTTTCAAGCTTATTTCCTTGCTGGTTGTGCAATCTAACATCACAACCGACCATGAGCCTATTTCCAAAAAAATGGAGTGTGTTCATTAATTACTATATTGTATATATTGTCAAAAATTAAAGTGAACATAGCAGTTGTTGTATCTTGTTTACTGTATCACTGTAAGATAATTTCAAAGTCAAGTTAACGGCACATAGTGAGATATTGTGTAATGTGAAATACTGTAAGCAAATGAACAAACAACCTAATTCTTGCTAAACCTTTGACTGTTTTGTTTGAATTCAACTGTTTTTTGCAGATGTACATAAGACATGTTGTTACTTTTATTATTATCATTATTATTATTATCATTATTGCACTAAATACATTTTAAATAAAAGATACTTTGATATACATTCTACCGTAAGGTTGGAAATGTATTTTCTTCACCCTAAAATATCTTTTGAAATGTATTTCAGTTTGAAAAAAATATATTTTCAATTTCAAAAATATATTTCTTTGAGCATCACAAATACAACATATATTTACCATATATTTGAAATATATTTTACGGTGGCCCCTAGAGACAAAGCACGTACAAACTCCAAAACACTTGCAAACTCCAAAAC